GTATATACTTTCACCTAACACTGTGACGGGGTCAGGTTTTTCATTGCCACAAAGTTGAGTGAGATATTGTGATAAAAATCCTTTGCCATTTCTGATATCTAAGTAATCATTCTTGCATATCCCTGTTCCATCGTTTTTGCCCACAGAAAAATCATCAAAGCTCAAGGTTATAGAACTGCCGTTTGATTGGCCATTTGTAATGATCCATACACGGTCACGTGACACTGAATAAGGTAACGGATAATTCGGAGAATGAAAGCTTCCTGATTTCGCGAAAATTGTTCCTCCATTTTCTAAACGAAAAGAACAGGACGGTTGTAAAACAAGATGGTTGATACAAATTTAGGCAAAAATTGTCATTAGGAATCGTTGGGCGATCTCTCAAGTACCTTGCAAATTTACATCCCCTGTCCCTGATAGACTGGAATGAATGGAATGTCAATTGTCGAGACATTGGATCGTGGAGGTAATTTGTTCGAGGATTGCATTAATTTACCTATGAGTTCAATAGTTCATTGAAGACTTGTTGAGAGGGAGGTGTGAATTGCCGAGATGGTATTTACAAGGAATAAGATATGAAAGATAACCGGTCAATGACATTGTAAAACTCGAGGTAAAGGAGGACAAAGGACGTGAGAGACCATAGAGGAGATGAGTGGACCGCGTGAAGAGAGATCTAAATGTCAAGGTACTAACTGTTGACTTGACAAGATTATGAAAAAAATAAAGGCAAGAATCAGAGTGACCCCAGGAAGTCTGGGATAGGATCTGGATAAAAAGAAATAGTTACCATTAAATATATTACAGCGATACATGAGGTTCGTCTGAATGACATCTTGATTACTAAGGGCAAACGTATAACGTGAATAATATTGTTTTCCAAGTTCTTCTTTCTTTATCCCACGAAGTTTGGGTACTATTGTGTCCACACCACCTCTCTTGGCGAAGAAGTCCGAGCCATAATGCATTATACTGTGGAAATCATAGCGCTATAGAAAAGTGTAAATTCACTTAATATCTGCGTATACCAATAAATTCACTTAATATCTGCGTATACCAATAAATTCACTTAATATCTGCGTATACCAATATGAAAAAGAAAGCTACTTTCCGAGATTGCTTCTCGTAACTGGATTAAAGGCCCATTTCCACTCAAGAAAATTTTCCACGAACAAAAAATTTCCCGAAAATATAATTGTTAAAAGTTGAAAATTTTCAACTTCAAAATTTTTTTCCGACGGAAAATTTGTGTTGGCCAATTAATCACATTTTACAAATTTTTCAAGTGGAAATGGGCCTTAATTCATACAAATGGAATATTGAGCTGCTCATCAATTAAGTCATCACCTATTATACATTACGCAACTGATTCCCCATAGAGAGGTGCATGGTGGCATGGAGCTCGCTCAATTAGTCATAAACTATACGTTCTAGGGACTTGATTTATGGGCAAATCAATTTCCACATTCTTGGGTTTATTATAGTTGCAATTCTGGATATCCTTTGGCCACCACAGGATGCTCTAGATCTGAATGAAGATAGAATACAATACCTGTTGAAGTGAATTGATGTCATCATCCTCCAATTTCTTGAAATTATGTTTATCTTGTTGATGAATATTCTCGTACAAAATCTTCACATAATTATCCCTGTCGGGTCTGCTTTGCTCGTGCCAAAATCCAACGCAATGTCCAAGTTCATGCACGATGATGCCGAATGTATCACAGCCGAGACCTAACGAGAGTTTCTGTTTGCCACCACGTCGTCCAACAAAGGAACAACACCTATAATTATATAGAAAACAGATAGAGATAGATATACAGATACAGATAGATAGAGATAGATAGATGAATCGTTTAATAACTCAATTATTGCATCCTAAGACTGAATTACAATTGATTGGATATATAGAATTTTATATAAAAATTAAGCTATATATACAAGATATAAAATAACTTCCTATTTAATTCCTTTCGTGATGCATATAGTCAAGGATAAAAGAGTCCTTAAATCTATTAGATCTAATCTTTGGGAGATTATATTTCCTAATTATTCTGAAATTGTGAACAGTCGTTATATACAGTCTTATTCGTTTAGTTAAAATTGAACAGTTAAAATTGAACAGTTAAGTTTGACTAAAGTGTAACTACTTTCAGTAAAATGGCTTTGATCTATTTTCTGCACTCTCTTTCTGTGCAAATCATGTTTTCGGATTGCAGAGATATATTTATACGGACAATATGACATGGTTTGCATGGTCTATGGACACGGTTGCGGGACCATTTTGCCGACAATGTTTAAATTGAGTCGCTAATTAATATTTTTTCCCAAGAATTGTTGACGGGGGGGGGGGGATGAAGGTGAAAAACGTTGTTCCGGACATACCGTAATTTTTCCCGACTTTTAACGTGATTTTCGTAAATTTAGTAAAAATGTTGCTGTAATTATTCAATTTTTATTCCGAGCCACTCAACTGATTTTCGCTCACCACGAAACTGAACAATTCCCCGATAATTCCGAAAACAATTTGCCGAGTGCAGCAGACATTTGCCGAATCTACCAGACATTTGCCGAATCTGTGATGAATGGGGGTGTTACACCCCCCCCCCCCACACACACACCCCGCTAGCTACGCCCCTGCAGTGGCGTAACTACTATGGGCTCAGACAGGGAGAACCCGGGGGCTCCCAACCCCAATGGGCCAAATGGGGCCCCCCAGGCTCGGAATATAGAGCAAAAACATTGGCCAGGGCCTCTGATATGTTACAATGTTGTTTTCTGACCATCAAAATTCTGTAATATCTCTCCCCAATGTCCGGGAAATGGCATTTCAGAGAGTCTAGACTCAAAAATTTTCCGGGTGAGCATACCCTGGACCCCCTAGAAAATTCGTGCATATACGGCGCTCGACTCGTGCCTTTGGCACTTCTACTAGGGGGGGCTTCGAAAATTTTGAACCGGGACCCCCCTAATATAACGTTACGCCACTGCGCCCCTGAACGGTTAACACGGCATGGTTGCGATGGCCACGGCCAAATCAAATGGAAAATAAGTTTTAATTCGTTGATGCAGTATTTCGAACGATGTTAAAATGGTTTAGTTCGTGCAATGTTTCATAAACTATTTTCACAAGCCTTCCCATCCGTGACTAATTTAACAACAGTAGGTTTGTTCAGAAATGACACGGCTTTTCCTCCTTTTTTATAAGTTTAGCATACGCTTTTTGCGCCGAAATGTTTGGTTCTCAGCATTGTCTCATGGGAATAATATTAGCTACGTATTTGTTTTTGCAAGGATAAATTGATCGACCGTGACTCATAGTACTGTCGAACCTCTTTTTAAGACTTTTAAGGAATTTAAGGACATCTCTCGGCTATAACGGACACCCTTCTGTACCGACATGCAATATGTATATTAATCAGTCGGTTCATATATTTCGTTTGAAAAACCTCTATAAAATATTATAAATCCCCGCATACTATAAGTGAAATGGGAAAAGCTTCTTAGACGGATGTAGAACTCTGAAAAATGCTAAATTGACATTGCAGATTTGCATGGTAAAGCATGATCCTTTACTGCCTCTCACTATCGGATTGGTTAATCGGATCTATCAAACGCATTTGATTGGTTAATGGTTTCTTAATGGTAGCGGTGGAGGTAGTCAAATCTGAACCTCGCTATTTTCAACTGCGCGTGTCAACGCACAATTTTGCGAATACAATAGAATATATTGATTTTTTCATTTGTGTGAATTGGAATAAAAACAATTCCCATATTTCGGCAGGTATGCTAATGCACTGACCACGATTCCCAGACACAACATTGAAAGGACGGTACTGATAGCTAATATAATGCAATTAATTATTTAATGTTAATCAATCAGCGCATGAATAGGCAATTCCAGCTTTTAAATTATGCGCACAGGGGATGACGGGAAGTACTGTAAGGTATCATATTGCTGATTATGCTGAAAAATTTCAATAAAAACTGCCGAAACAACCGAAATATTTCAATATTTACAAGTATAAGCTATCACTCAGTGTTTATACGGTCGCCATTTTTATTTTTTCAGCATAATCAGCAATATGATACCTTACTTCCCATCGCCCCCTGCACGCATAAACTAAAAGCTGGAATTGCCTATTGAGAATTCGTGATAAAAATTAGCGCGCGTGTGCTAGGTTTCTAAAAATAACCTCAAAGCAAAAATTGCGAACCAAAATAGAGCTACCTGTAGTGAACAGGAGTACTCTATGGCCCTAATACTTGCATTGTGGTGAGAACTGCGTGAAACAATCTGACTCTTTGCCAAGAAATTTTGTTGTGACCTGATGGGGAGAAATGCATGCACGGAATGCAAACTGGTTTAAATTTTACATAATTCATGACATCAATCAATTTTTTAACACAAAAGCCGGATAAAACAAGCAAGACTATCGCCTGTATTCTAAAATCTCACTCACACTCAAAGAGTAGAGATTCAATCTGAGCTTCCCTTGAGTGTCAATGGGGACAATGCTGTTTTTGAATAGCTTGGGGGGGGGGGGTAGTCTCGTACCTTATATGCGACTACTCACCCTCCAGCTATTCCAAAACAGCACTGACACTCAAGGGAAGCTCAGATTGAACCTCTACTCTTTGAATGTAAGTGTGAGTGAGCTTTTAGAACACAGGCGTATATGCTTGAACATATGGATATCATATTGGTTAAAAAATTGTTCCGGATTTAGTAGTGTCATCATCTGAATGTTACGGTATTATTTGATTTTCACAAGTGTTTCAAGATTTTCTGAGCTTAAAAAACATACCAATGCATAAGTTGATGATATAATATGTTAAGAGATGCCCTCAACTGAAAAAAATGTGAAAACTTTCGTGGATAAAAAATACAGAAAAAACATAATCCGATTATCATTTCTTGAGCGATTATCATTTCTTAAGACGAATGACGGAAGAAGAGCAATTTATGACTGTTTTGATACATTCACGCTCGGCATCACAAATATGAATATGCGGCTAATCAAGATGCGTGAAAAGCTGAAGTGCGGCAATCAAGCGCCCCAATGTTAATATGGTTACCCAGTTCGGATTGTGGAACAGAACAACTGAGTGAATGTACGTATAATTGCCCTGCCCCATTTTTTTTTTGCCCTGCCCCATTTTTTTTCTGTAGTCTGTAGAAATGTAAATTGTACTGCATGTAAATATATTTGATTATACAGTTAACTTTAGAAGGTCCAGTGGAAGATTAGCGAAAGCTAAACTGGCATATTTCCTTGTAAATTAACCTTAGTTTAATTGTAGTTTTAATAATAATAATAATAATAATAATAATAATAATAATAATAATAATAATAATAATAATAATAATTTAACTTACCCACTTCCACTAAAAATATAAACATAATCTTTCTGATTTGTTCGTTTGACAAAATCCAAACATGTATAACCTTGCCAGTGATCCATTGCAGCACGGATCAAATCTTTAGTTTTATCTAAAATTAAAATACTCATTAAAAATTCATAAACCTTGTGGCAAATCATGTCAGCCATAATATGCCACGTGGAGTGACTTTATATCTGATAGAACTCATCTTCATTAGTATTCTTTATATAATTGTTCATCCTAATGGACCATTCCCCAATTAACCAAAATTTTGAACTCAACAAGTCTAGATTTCATCACAGCTTGAAAGAACATCACAAAATTAGTAATATTCCAAAGTTTCGTTGCAAAATGTTGTAAAATGCGGATAATATAGCCTTGCGAAGTTTGCAATTTTCAGTCATTTTAGATTACAAACGGGAAATGGTTACCACTTCTTTGCGTAATACAAAATGACTGAAAATTACAAACTTCGCAAGGCTATATTATCCGCATTTTACAACATTTTGCAACGAAACTTTGGAATATTACTAATTTTGTGATGCTCTTTCATGCTATAATGAAATTTTTGTTTAGACTAGTTGAGATCAAAATTTTGGAAAAATGGTAACCATTTCCCGTTTGTAATCTAAAATGACTGAAAATTGCAAATTTCGCAAGGCTATATTATCCGCTTTTTACAACATTTCGGAACGAAACTTTGGAATATTACTAATTTTGTGATGCTCTTTCATGCTATGTTGGAATTTTGTCTACTGACTTGTTGAGATCAAAATTTTGGTTATTTTGGGGAATACTAATTAGGATGAACAATTATATAATCATACTAATGGTAGTATGATTATATAATTGTTCATCCTAATTAGTATTCTTTTGTAGTCGTATTTTTAAGCTATTCAAAACACTCGAACTCGCGTTTTATCATATCTAAAACGCTCGGCTGCGCCTCGCGTTTTAAATATGATAAAATACTCCTTCTCGTGTTTTAAATACTACTTGAATGGAGAAATAACGATCGTTAATTGTTTGGATGTGCTCAAACGAATTGTGTGTGATTTTATGAAACAATTGTTTATGGTTTATCTATATAGAGTTTAAGAGTCCGGCATGAATGTTGAACTGTTGAATCAAACATACCACAACGTAATCCGTTTATGGTTAGTATTATGCATGCTGCGTGCATAGAAAATCTAATTTGTGTGTTCAATAAAACTAATATAGTTAACCATCTGCTCCATGAAAATAATAGAGTTATAAAACTAAAATATTTATGCACAGGGCAGCTGTATTATATTTACGTTAACTGATTTTGATGAAGATAATCTGATTTTGATTTCTGAAGTGATGTGTAAAAAAATCTCAAAGCTTAAATTAATAGGATTGTTGGATTATAGTTTAAAATAAACAGCCACCTACACTAGACACACGAACAGTCAGCTTATTACATAAATTTCGTTGCCTATAGAGTATAGGAAATTGCAATCGATATCATTACATTCATTTTGGGAAGAAGTAACACCTTCAGTTCAGTAAGCAGTTCGTGCATGCACCAGTTGATGAAACATGCAAGAAAGAGACAAATTCTTTGATATCAGATTATTTTCTACACTGACTATCAGTGGCGAAGCAAGTCCGACAATTTGGTCATGCTATGCAAATTTTAAATCATTATCATTATTCATTTCTTCAGAAATTGATTGTTTTCACGGACTACGAGTCTATGAACACGGAAATATTTGCATGGCATGACCAAATTGTCGCCGCATTGTTCATACAACTACTCGAAATGGCAACTCAAAAGGTCTCTTAGGGATTAGGTGTCGCACTGCCTACAAAAACGTTTATCACGTCCGTGATTATCAGTTGGGAGTGGTACCTCACACCTGTGGGCTGTGGTCACAATACCAAGTGAACGCACGCTACATCACGCAACATATCTGTGCTTTTCCCATAGTTGTCAAATTTTGGGAAATTACGGACGATGAAACAACAATGAATTAAATATTCAATAATTTGTTAGATTTGTATTTTGTTTTTTTGCTGTTTCAGGAAACGATGGGATTTTATGAAGCCTATCATGTAACAGATAGATAGATAGATAGAGATAAATGTGATGCATAAATGTGTTGGTGATATGGGGCAACACAAACATCGGCCGCTCATGCTTTATATTATATTACTTAATTGGTTTCACATTTATATTGGCATTCTATAATTGAATTCCCACTACGTACAGCGGAACAAATTGGAGAGCAATTACCATGCAGGAATTCGGCAAGGAAAATCATTCTAATTAAGATCTAATTAAGATCATTCTAGATCATTCTACTTAGGATCATTCTAAATCATTCTTATGCATTTTGTCAAATTCTTTTTATTTTACAATATTTATTTTGTTAAGAGGAATTTCATTGGACCTCAAAGAGTTTGCATTTTGTTTTTGTAACATAATGAAAAAGAGTGCTTTGGGATCAAGAAATGTGGACTTTTTAATTTTTTGTTAAACTGTTGAACACGAACTCGTTTTATTCCTAATGTAAGAACTATATCCATCTTTCGTATGAATACGACATGAATTATATTATTCATATACAATGCTCGTAGTGTTGAAGAGCATGTTTTTCATCCATGAAAAATATTTCCTATAGGGAAATGTGAATTCCGTTGTGATAACCTTGAATGATGAAGACCGACGACCTTGGTAGCTTTGAAAGAACAAAAACGTATGCAGTTCCGTATTAAAGTTATTAAGATAGTGCAAGTGTTGAGTGATGACACAACATAACAAAGATAGAGAATAATAAAGGACAAACGTAGCTCATCACAGACATCACTCTTCGATAGACTCAAATTTTAAATACCACAATCAGTCAGGCATGTGCCAGGAAATGAAATTTAGAAAAGGGCAAATATTTATAAGAAAGAGAAAAGGGAGAGAGAGAGAAATCCAAAGAACGGAGAACTAACGTAAGAACACCGCAGGATATTTTCTTTAAGTTACAATCTAAGCGCTCACACGCAATGATTTCTTTCACGATGCTCACAGTATCCAATGGAGAAATTACTAGATTATCAAAATTACTCTTTTATCTCAAAACACGATCAAACTCCAAGTAACGTCATCTTGTAGAACTTTACGTCAACTTACAGCTAGAATATGGCCGCATTGTATATTACAGGAACTCATTTGCATAATACGCGCACACGAATAAAAAACTAAGAGTTGATTAAAAGTATCATCCATGTGAAAATCCAAATAATGTTCTGTTGACGTTTGGTTCTTAGCCAAAGGTCAAAGGTTGATGATTGTCTATATGTGTATTTGCTATAATAGAAAAATCGCGCCAAGACATACAGCTGTGTATTATAATTATAAGCTATACACTATCTTCACAAATATATACACGTACTTTTAAAATCATCAGCAATAACATAAGGAATAACTCCCCTAGGCCATAATTTCTTTTCTTTAGATGTTGCTGCCCTACGACGTCGGCCTGGCTTTATATCACCGAGTATGTCACCCTCTATAACATTAGGTTCTGAAATACAATACAAGGAAAATGTGTAAACAGAGCGGTCAGTGACACATGTTTAATAACGTTGCGTTGTAACTGTATTGTTTCAATACTAAGCTTACTGGTAGATTGCTTGCCGCTGGTAGTAAAGTTAAAATTTGGAGCTAATAAAGGATTACTCTAGGCTACTAAACTATAGTAAATACAACAGTCAGACAAAGTTCTAAGAAGCATTATTTGTCAGGCACAAGCTACCCGGCGCAAAACTGCGCCATTCACTAACTATGGTATACTATATAACAGCATTCGTATTTTGTATTAAACACAATATACTTCTGTTAGCCCTTACATTCAATTAAAATTTCCATGGAATGAAAAGTTACAAAGTTCAAGTTTGAAGTACTCACCTGAGCACGAAGCGGCACGCACCAACATATATCTTCCGTGTAATATACTCAAAGTATAAATTAATGCAACAATATTGACAACCAAGCAACCAGGAATCCTTGACATCATGTAATATTTAGTTTCGTGAGAAATGGATCGGAGAATAAGCCAGTAGACCTACTTGTGGTATTTTGATCGTGACTAACTTAAAATCGGCTTGTTTTAACTGCGAAGTCTATAAATAGTTTATTGAAACCATTAGCACGCATTCATTGTTTTGGTTGTGTGGACTTCCGGTTTTGGCAAGCAAGAAGAATAATGATTATCTGGAAGTAATTATGGTCTAAATTGCTGTTCCTGAAAGTAACGGTCGCTAATGATGTGCTCATGTTGTGCGTTCTTTGACACTTTGAAAAAAATCTCTAAAAAATCCCGAATAAATTGAACAAATTCATCAAAAACCCGTATATAAAAATCCCTAAAATCTCTAAAAATCTCACTAAGCGATTTTCGAAATCCCAAAAATCTCCTACACTTTTTTGGAGTGATACACCGCTCGCTTTGATATATTTATTATGAATGTACAGGTAGAAAAAGGTCTAGGATAAAGACGAACAGAGAAGATGGTTATTTAGTGCAGACTGTGCTGTCTATGGTGAAGGATGAAATATAATTAAACAAGCCGGTAAGGGAAGAAAATGTGCAAACGGCTTTATGCCTTGCTTCTTGTGTTGATATCCTAGAACGAGCCATTCAATATGCTAGAACGAGCCAACAATCTCGGCAAAGAATAAAATACTCGTATCAAAAAAGAAAAATGGAAGTGTCTTAGAAAACCCTAGGCTAGGCTAGGTATGGACTAAATGGTTATGTTTCGATTCAGGCTAATAATCTCGGTGATAATTCTAAAGATCGAAATATAGACATTTAAATTTACGTCTTGTATTGGCCCTTATTTTGGATTTTCAAGACTATGTTTTCAATTTTTGGTTTTTAAATTGTTTTCGATATGTAGTCTTGATAGAGGGTATGTAAATCAACTTGCAGTCTGCATGGGTTTTTACTGATGTATTAGATGTAATTCAATGGATGTAAATAGATTTTGAGGGACAGAGGGAGTGCAGTTTCACATGGTGGCATTGGTCGTTGAGGGCAACTTGGCAACTTACGAAGGTTCACTAGTCCAAGTAGTTATAGTAGTAGTTGAGAGAAGCGAAAAGAAAGCGTCTGACTTTTTATGCCTAAATTAATTTTGTAATTATTAATTAATTATTAATTAATTAAATAATTAATGCTTAACTTTACCAAAAATTAAGAGCGAAAACACAGGAGTTTAAAGCGAATGACACCCTTCTTAAGCTTGCGAAAATCAGGTACTGCATGGTGCCACTTTCATGGGTAAGCCAATCTTGTGCCGTTGTACGTTCCTGACATTTCACTCATTTCCACATAACTTCCTGTTCTCAAGTGGGCTGACATTTTGTGGTCGTCGGATATTTCATCATGCCTAACCATGCCGGAAATACATGTTCCTATGTTATGCCTATACAGGACTGATGAAAGCCTGCACGAGCAAATGGTAATTGATGATAGGAATTAGGAAATACGAAAACATAATCAATATGGAATATCTGTGTAAATATTAAAATACTAGACGATGAAGGTCAACGATATCATGAAACAACTACACGGAGGCTATATTTGTTTTGGTACGCCCTAAATGTTTCCTTTAGAAAACTCTTTACGAATACTGAAAACTGTTCAAAGACATGTCGTGGCATACCATTGAAAGGTACAACCTCTATAGTTGACATAATTTATTACCATAATTTATGTGAAATGAAAGTTCTAGAAATTATAACTGTGTTAATCTTTGAGAAGTTATTTAACCTGCAGGTAGGTTTGTGGTTAGGGTGTGAATGTCCGGCAAAATAATTAAGCAAGTTGCTGAAGTGAGGTTAGGGTGTGTGAAAAAAGTTGGTAAATCTTAAGTGGTACGACTGATTGCTTTTTCAGTTTTTTCCGCCAGCTGCATTTGTTTTAGCTTGCGTGCGATCCCATGACATCGCCGCAAACGATGTAAGGTCAACGATGTCAGGAAACAACTACACGGAGGCTATATTTGTTTTGGTACGCCCTAAATGTTTCCTTTTGAAAACTCTTTATATTCGACATAGGTGTTCACAAGTCCCAATGAGCCTGTGGTGCATGTCTTTAGTATGTACTTCATTTTCATCACGGAAACCTTCATTAATGCAGGCGAGCATCTCTCGTACCGTTAAATCATGTGCTTGGGAAAAGCATAAAATGCCATCTCGAATTAACTTATAATCTTTGACGAACTGAAATTGCTTTTTATCATACAACTTATGATTTATGATTGCACGTTTTGACATGTTTTCGTTATTTGAGTGGACCGTGTAGACTGTTTCTTTTTCAAGGTTTTAGTGTAGTAGTTTTTGCCATATTGCCGGATTCAACAAATCAAAATTAATGTTAAAGCCTGAGACAGCTAGCCTTGTACATTATTGTACTCATCCATAAGAGGCGTTGTAATTACATAATTATAGTGTGAGAAAATTTGCCTGAGCTCTATTATCCTATATCGTGCACCCAAGACTCGCTGTCCAGGGCTAGACAAACTCATTAATGGTCGGATATCATGTCTGAAAAGGATGCAATTCAGTCAAACTAATTACGTCGAAATTACCGGAGTAACCGGGAATATATGTTGTTCAAGGCCCGCGGAACAGCTAGCCAGATGGCAGCGCTGCTCGAATTTGAATAATTTGATCAGCATGGTAGAGCATGGTCTGAATTCGTGAGATATGACTTCATTCCCTTCTACATGAGTATATGATGATAAAACAAATTAAAGTTATGGCTGTGGAATATTGCAACGTTAATGTACATTGACAAGTCTGACTTTATGATCCCTTGATGATTGAGGGGGAGTGGGCCTTTAAAAAGTCCAACATTGTAACTCACGGAAATTATCCGAAGGGACATGCGAAGGCTGGTCCAGTTATATCCTAGAAGTCTGATTGTAGTTAAAGTTTAGTTGAAATTAACAATTAGATTTGAAAAAAAACTCTATTGGGCAATGAAATACGGCACCTACTGCACAGGAAAAAATGAAACCAGATAGCAGTGATAATACTCTTAGTTCTAACTAAATTGTTTAAAAACAGTGTATAGTGAAAGAGGATTGCATGTACAGTGTATGGTGACTTTGAAAGAGGATTACAGAACTGGACTCAAATTACACATCAGTGTTTATGTGATCACTTACACAAACAAATGAAAGCATTATAAGGCTAGAAAGCATTAAAAAGCAATCCATAATTAAAGCCATATCCTGCGGAAAATCTAGACAATAAAAACAACAATCTAGCTAAAGCCGGACATATTAAACATAGTTGGTGTTTTGGCTCACAAAATCTTAGTTTTTTCAACAACATTACATTATTTCGTAATTAACGTGATATTTAACAAATATAAAACATTTTCCGTGTTGATATACAGTTATATCAACACGAGTGGAAATTGGGAAAACGAGAAATTGTGTGGAAACACGACGCCCGAAGGGCGGAGTGTTTTCACACAATTTCGAGTTTTCCCAACTTCCACGAGTGTTGATATAGCTATATATCAATACGGAAAAAATGTTTTATATTTGTTTTATAATATAGCAATGTCAAAAGCCCGAAGAATAAGAACAATTTCCGTGTTTATAAGCGGCGGAAAATTTCCCGTGTTGACATGGAGTTATATCAACACGGCTCTTAGCCAATCAGCGTTCAGAATTTACAAATGCTATATTATAATATAATATATCATCCAGTCATGTATGATTGATTTCAATTTTCAATTAATCCATCACTAACCCTAACCTCTCTCCTACGCTCGTGTTCCAAGATCCGCCATGTAAAGTGTAGTGAAATGTATCTCATCATAATATTAAATCCTAAGAAAACTAAAGCCTCTGCGGAGGAGAGAGAACCCTAACCAAATCTTAACCAAAGTACTGTATAACAGTTAAATATATGAATGCCCGGACAATTACAGTCTAGTGTCTTTATCGAGGGATGACGTCATCGGCCAACATGGTAGTTACTGTAATAATCCCATTCAAAGCATGATTATAAATATTTATATTTCACGGGTCGATATTGAGTCCAAGTTGTATGATAAAATATCGTAAGAATCGGGAATTGTGACACAAAAGGTACCAGACTGTGTGGTAGCAATGCCCCCCTCTGTCACGTGGTGTGCTGACATGATTGTTAAATTTTGATGTATATTTTGTCCGTCTCCTGATCCATCTTCATGTATGACCTGGTCCTGGTCCGCCTCAGTGTCCTGGATTGTCTCAGTCTCCTGGCCTAGTCCGCAGCAGAAGTCCGCAGTATTGGAAAAAGCTGTTCAGTACTGGTCGTTACCACTGAGGTCGATACCATTGAACTATAAATAAACTGGAAGGCTAACTCAGGGGGGGAAATTGAAGCCAGTGCATTTTAGTTTTTCTGAGTTATGAGCAGAAATACTCAACACTGAACGTTGGGCTATATATCAAATTGAAGCTATTGAAAAACACTATTTGGTGTAGAAATTTCAAGACTTTAACTAAAAGGGAAATATTGAAAAACTACAAACATAATTACCGATAATTTGCCGTTTTGCAGTTGTTTTCGTATTTTTTAAATATTTTTCTTTTCGCTGAAGTCTTGAAATTTTCACACCAAATAGCAATTTCCAATAGCTTCAATTTGATATATAGCCCGACGTTTGGGGTCAAGTATTTCTGCTCATAACTCAGAAAAACTATTTTGGCTTCATCAAATCATAGGCCTTCATCATAGCAGTTAGCCTTCCAGTTTATTTATAGTTCAATGGGTCGATACTAGTCGTTACAAATTTCGAGAAAATTATTAATACAAGAAAATTATTTTTTTGAGAGTGGAAACACTGATGTTTACAAAAAATGGCGGCGAAAAGTATAAAGTTTTAAAGAAAAATAAATGTGGATATTATTGTCCATGCAGCCAGGGTTGTAGTTATGTGATAAAGTGAAGAAAGTTTTAAAATATTAAAGAACTGCCTAACAATGTCAGATCATCAAGAGGGAATCATCTCACATTTAGTTCTAATTTTAACGTCACGATTCTTACAAAAAGACAAGAACTCAAGTGGTAAGTCATTATGCAGACATTAAGTTTTGTCATATTTGATTGTATGATTTACAACAAATATGATAATTTTTTCTTTTTAGTAAATATATTGTGGAGTATATGATATACAGTGGAATGCCACTATTAGTCTAGTACTAGTCTACTAGCGTACTAGTAGTAGTTGACTAGTTGATAATTGTTGCCTTTTGAAGATCAGAAATCATGTAGTAGATATAAGAAGACTTCTGGAAAAAATATTTAGATAAAACTTAAGAGATTTAAGAATACCTTTGACATTTGGACAAACATCACAGTGCATCACAATTTAAATTATATCAATGGATTTATACCACATAGAGGCTGATAGAGCCAAACTGAATTTGAAGAGGGTATTTGCACAAGATCTAAGGCACTGACTCCAACAAAATCTTTTGAAGCAGATTGATTTCAAATATCAATTTGGTGCAATATCGATTTAACACAACAGTTTGGCAACAACAAAAGCAGTGAAAGTACTTTTTAGTGATTTTGTAGGAGGAATTTCTTCCAATCAATGCATTTGTTGACATTTTCACTCTAAACCAATCACAATGGGTAATTGGTCACTTATACTACTTCTGGTAAAAACATTCATTTGAACAGAAAATTTAGGGTCAAATAAAGCTTCGGGAGTCAGGATTTTTAATTTTGTTTATTGGATTTAACGTGACAAGGCAAAATAAGACATTTTCTAAAAATTTGATGCTGGGATTTGTGTTTTATTGCCTAGTTTTAAAGTTGTCGGCATTCGAACAGTGGTGTATAAATATTGTGAAAGTTTGAATGCTGATAATTTTAGAACTAGGCAGTAGAATGCAAATCCCAGTGGCAAATTGTTTAGAAAATTTCTTATTTTACCTTGTCACATTGAATCCAATCAAAAATTAAAAATCCTGACTCCCTCGAAGTTTAATTTAAGACCCTAAATTTTCTGTTCAAATGTTTGTTTTTACTGGAAGTAGGCTTTCTGTGCTTGCAGGGAAACTACCTACAGTAACCAATTACAACAAATGTGCTGATTGGTTGAGAACGAAATTCCCCCTTGTTACTATTGTACAGTTGTAATACAAGCACAAAGTATAAATTAATTGAAAAATCTTTGGTGCAGAAAAGTTGTGAAATTCACCTTGTCAACCAGAGAGGAATGATGCATCTACAGTAGATGTACTTGCATGGGTACAATCTAAAAGATAGTTTGCTTGATAGTTTGTCTGTATATAATATGGCAAACATATGGATAATCCATCAAGATGAACTATACATGCAGTATAATTTGTTTATAATCAGATGAACTTGCATAATATATCATACACAGACAACATTTTTTCTTTTCCCAAGTTCATCCAGACAGTTAGGTTATCAGTCATCTTATATTCTTACATATACTAGGGCAAATGATCCATCAGACAAATTGATGCTTCTTGACAGATGTCATTGTAGTCATTGTATGATTTTTGCATGAGGTGTCAGGCAGCTGTTATATAATTTATTTTTCTGTGAAAGAGGATAACAAAATAAAATACATATGACAGGAAACCTATGAAAATAGTTAGCAGACGTTCTGCCTCCGTTTCTGCTAATTTCTCGGCATAGTACAAAACATGGACTGGACCCAAAATTGGACTCAAAATTTTAGCCAAAATTTGACTCAAAGAGATCAAATATCAGAGATCAAATATAAAATATTCCACAAAATAATTCCAAAACGCGAGCCAGACGTTTTCTCTACAAAAAATAGCAAATAGCAATATATACTGTAATAGTTTTTGAAACGCGAATGAGTTTTAGTGAATTAAGAAGAAAAAATAACTACCCACGACTATTATCACGACACACAACATAAAGTGACACGTCTATATTTGACAAACGGAAATACAATATGTGCATAATGATAACCCACATATAGCTAGTTGCGATAAATATTAGAATATATGGACAAAACAAACTTTGCGAACTTGTTACTCGTTAGAAGATATATATGCCGGGATATATAGAGGGTGTATTATACAGACACAAAATGTATATAATTAAAATAACTATATATTGATGTATATATTGATGGAATGATTTATATCGATGTGATGTATTTGTGACCATTGCGCAAAGATATTTCACAAAGGTTTGAGATACCCTAGATAACGCAGGCACGGATTTTCTGGGGGGTGCGGGGGGGGGTGCGCACCCCCCCAGAAATGATTTGCACCCCCTCAAAGGCATTTGGCACCCCCGCTAAATTTGTAAAATACCACTAAATTTACTACTAAATTTGTAAAATTACCAATATTATGGTCTCAGATCTTGCCATGCAGGCCTAGAAAACAAATTTTGTTAAACTTTTTCCTTGGCCTTTCCGGGCATTGCCACCACGCCCCAGCCAAAGCAAGCAGCAGCACCCCCCCAGAGATAACGTTTAGAAAATAGAATATAGAATTTTGGAAGACAAATAGCTAGATAGGTCAAGGAAAAGTGATGGAACTTGAAGTTTTTTGCCTATACAAATTAAATACAAATTAAATCAAAGCACGATATTCTGAGGGTTGTTTCTCTCCGAGAAAATAATGGATTTTCGGGCAAAATTTTGGCTAAAATTTTGAGTCCAATTTTGGGTCCAATTTTGAGTCCAATTTTGGGTCCAATTTTGGGTCCAGTCCATGGGTCCAGTCCATGTTTTGTACTATGCCCTAATTTCTCACAATAACACACAATGAAGTTTTAAATAATTTATTAAATAAAGGAAAAACTCACAAAGAATGAAAATACTTGCTGTAATACATGGAACTATCCTCTTGCATTTTAGCCTCAACATTACAACACATTTTGTCATTGCCATAAAAGGCAAGGCATGTGACCTACAGTAATCATGCTAATGTTAATACAACATGTCTGTTTGTCTGTCTCCAACACACTTGTCAGGAGGAGACAGATTGCAAACGTTTAAACAAAACCAATTAATAACAATGTTTATGAATAAAAGTCACATTTTATCCATGCTAGAGTTCAATTGTGTCTAATTAATCTTGCATCTGAAGCCGACGATTTTTATCATCCGTCTACACATTAACTACGTCTCCTACTTCCATTCCTTCGTTGTTTTCCTGACATATTGTGTCGTTCTCTGAGTGCCGTGTCTCTCCTCCACCGATTCCATAGTTTGTCTATACAAGCTTTTAAGAATTTTAATCTCTTCCGCACGCTTCTTTCCTCTTCTTGGTGCGGTTGAATTTTTGGTAATGTGCTCGGTCTTTGAAACAGGAACTGCGCAGGAAATAACACAGGTAATTCGACATTGTCTTCAACGTGACAGAACGGACGCCGGTTTATCTGAGTTTCTATGTCGAGTAACATTTCACTTAATTCGTTCCAAGTTAGATTCCCTTTCCCATCACCATTGCACTTTTGACTACTCCGATGAGATTTCAAATTGCCCTCTCCACCAGGGAGGTGGAGAGAGAATTTGAGATTGCGACAAGTTGAAAATTTATTTGATGTCATGTTCCTCGAGGTACAGAAACTGTACAGATGCTCTTTGTTACGATAGATAGATAGATAGATAGATAGATAGATAGATAGATAGATAGATAGATAGATAGATAGATAGATAGATAGATAGATAGATAGATAGAGTAGATAGATAGATAGATCAACTTTATTTAAACACATTGGCCTTTTCAGCAAAAGCTGATTTCCAAAAGGGATGTGTACTTACAAATTATTATTTATATACTAGCTCTAATATTACAT